CCGGCCCCTCAGCCGCCTGCGGGTCCGACATCTGCAGCCGGCGCCCGGAGCGTCTCCGCCGCCAGCCGCGAGCGTCTCCGGAAACAGCCGAAGGCCGAGCGAGCGTGGCCGCGGTGCTCCGAGAGGAGCCGAGCGGGGCCCGCCGCGGGCCGGAAGAAGCGGCGCGGCGGCCCTGGGGCGGCCGCAGGGGGCTCCAGCCAGCAGAGGCTGGCGACGCGGGCGCGGGGACACTGACTGAGTGCTTTTGATCACCAGGTTTTAAAGTCAGGGCTTGAAAGAAGAATCAAAACCTGGGGAAGAGTCAGGAAGACACTGCCGGAAATCGTGGTATCCATAGAGACGCTATCGGAAGTTGGGGTTGCTAGGAGGCCCGGGCGCGTCCCCCAAGCTGCCTAATGGCCGAAGTCCCAGACGATTATGATTCCGGCCCCGATGAAAGTGAGGAGCCGGCGCCTAAGACACCTGAACTGCCTGGACTTGGTAACTTGTCTGAAAATGCCGAACCAGACACCATGGCAGAGGCAGGCCCGGAGCAACCCACAGAGGTTGACCAAGAGCCCCAGCCAGAGACTGAGGAGGAGGACTTCAAAGAGGGGGAGCCAAAGAGTGCTGAAAATGTACAGCTTAGACCAACAAGGACGTCCGAGGAAGAAGTTCCCGAGGAGAACGAGACAGACCTGTCTAATGAAACTGAACCTGGGATTCCCCAAGAGGTAAAGTCGGAGACATCCAGAGAGATGGGAGGAGAGCTTTTCAAGGATTTGGAGGTCCCTATGGATGCAAAGCGTGAGGAGCCAGACCTAGAGCCATTGGAGGAGGCTGAAGCAGATGCTACAGAGAATGTACTCATAAAGTCAGATACAGAAATACATATGGAGCTACCAACGGAAACCAGATCCGAAGTCCCAGGAGCCACAGTCAGTGGAACAAAATTAGAGTTACTAGAGGAGACTGAGCCGGAGATTCCAGAGGAATCACTTAGGGAAGAATATGAAGACACAGTTCTAGAGCCTCCAGAGCAGCCCCAACCAGATTTTCCAAGTGAAAAACCAAGAAAATCAGCTGAAGGGACAGATCTGCAGCCAGAGATGACCAAACCAGAGATTCCAGAGGAGACACAAAGAGAGCCAGCTGAGGAGAAAAGGATAGAATCACCTGAGCAGGATAAACCAGAGTTTCTGGAGCAGAAACCAAGAAAGTCTACTGAGGAGGCAAGTCTTGAGCTTCCTAAACCAGAAGTTCCAGAGCAGATGCAAAGAAAATCAACTGAGGCGAAAGGAACAGAGCCACGACAGCATACTAAACCAGAGTTTCCACACCAGAAACCAAGAAAGTCAGCTGAAGGGGAAGTTCCAGCAGAGATCAAATCAGAGTTTCCTGAGGAAGAGTCAAGGAAACCAAATGAGGAAACAAGCCCAGAGACATTAGAAAAGACCAAACCAGAAGTTCCAGAGGAGACCAGTCTAGTTCTACCACAGGAGATCAAACCAGAGGTTCAAGAGGAGACACAAAGAGAGTCAATTGAGGAGAAAGTTCTAGAGCCACCAGAGGACACTAAACCAGCAGATCAAAAAGAGAAGCAGAGAAAATCAACTGAGGAGACAGGACTAGCACCACCACAGAAGTCCAAATCAGAGGAGACACTAAAAGAGTCAACTGAGGAAAAGGGTCTAGAGCCACCAGAACAGACTAAACCAGACTTTCCAAAGAAGGAACCAAGAACATCAACTGAGGAAATGGGTCAAATGCCACCACAGAAGACCAAACCAGAGGTCCAAGAGAAGACACAAACAGAGCCAACTGAGGAGAAAAGTATAGAATTACCAGAGGAAACCAAACCAGGAGAGACATATGTAGAATTTTCCAAGGAAGACAAGCCAGAACCAGTCAAATCTAAGTATTTTGTAGACGGGGATGAGCTCAAGCACCCCAAGGATCAAACAAGAAAGTTGTCAGTAAAAAAAACTGATGAAGTTAAAAGAGACTATGCATTAGAATCTCTCAGAGGAAGTGAAGTAGAATCAATTAGTACATATGAGATTTCTCAAGAACTCCAAAATCTGCTTAATGATATCAGTAAAAAATACACAAACTCACCTCCCTCAGAGTCTCAGACAGAATTAAGAGAGTCCTTTAGTAAAAAGAAAGCTGTAGATTTGTCCCAAAAGTTGAAGAAACTGGTACCCGAAGATAAAGAAACCCAACAAAAACAAAGAATTGATCTTCAATTTGAGTATCTTAAATGGAGCCCAGAGAAAGTTGCAGAGTGGATTAGCCAGCTAGGCTTCCCGCAATACAAGGTATACATAAACTTTTTTTGAAATCACATGCTCTTATCCTTTTACCTCTTATTCGCTCTACCCTGACCTGCGCGCCTGCCTCTTTTTCATCAGAAGTATAGAAAAGTCCTGGACTCTGGTAGAGATAACTTGGATTTTAATTTTGGCCTTGCCACTGATGTATATTTGTATTTTGGGAGAGGAAGGGAGGATCACATTTGTTTGTTTCTCCTATACATACCAGTCATTACACTTCTCTACAATCTTTGGATAAAGACCAAAAAGTTTATGTAAGCCTCTTTTCATAAAAAGCTGTATTTTTAACTAGATTTGGTCCAAGGTAGCCTTTCAGTATTTTGTCGAGTTGTTTTAGTGTTAGTTCCCTTACTTTAAATTTGTACTATTAACCCTAATTGTGTGCCCCAAATATATCACATGTATTGTGAGCACTTAAAAGTATTAATTTGGGCCGGCCCGTGGCTCACTTGGGAGAGTGCGGTGCTGATAACACCAAGGCCCCGTGTTCGGATCCCATATAGGGATGACCGGTTAGCTCACTGGGTGAGCATGTTGCTGACAACACCAAGTCAAGGGTTAAGATCCCCTTACCAGTCATCTTTAAAAAAAAAAAAAAAGTATTAATTTGAGTTAGCCAATTACAAAAAAATAGTTTTGTTAAGAAGATAATGTAAGCCCCTTACTTCACTGATGCCAACTGTGTTTTAGGCTACCACCAACCCCCACAAGATCTGAAACATTTTGTATGTCTGGTACTTAGAAATGTAGTTGAGACATGAAGAGACATTGGTTGTAGCATGCCAAAAAAAAAAATTAAGGAGCAGTGTGGAATTTAATTAAGATGGAAAAATGTGATATTACTAGGACAGAAAATACATTTAAATTTTTTCTGAGCATATAACTGGAGACAACCATGATTTCTTTTCTCCCTCTCTCCTTCCCTCCCTCCTTTCTCCCTTCCTTCCTTCTATTTGCAGTACATTTTCTGAGTGATGTCCTTGTACTGACAGGAGTGTTTTACCACAAATTTCATCAGTGGCCGAAAACTCATCCATGTAAACTGCTCAAACCTCCCTCAGATTGGGATAACAGATTTTGAGGACATGAAGGTGAGTTGTGTCCAAAGCTTCCCTATAGAGCACTGTAACAATGCAACCATCTGTCTCAAACCAACTCCTTTTTTTTCCAGCCTGCCCTCCTGTTTCTGTCAATGATGTTATCAGACTCCCAGTCCCCAGGCTCACAGTGAATGCTTCCTCTCTCCCCTTTGAACCCCACAACAATCCCAAGAACTGTCAGTTCCTCCTTTGGCACTTACGTTATCTGGATGTCTTCATTCCCACTTTTCAGATCTTTATCACCTTATTCCTAGGACACTGCAGTAGCCTCTTCTTTTAGATGCAAGGGCCTGCTTTTAGACTCTCACCTTCCAACTACTTATACACTATTCAGAAGCCGTCTTTGGATCCCCTCTGTTTACAAGATAGTCTCAAGTCCTTAGTTTAGGATCAAGGCCCCCACCACTCCTCTGAATGAATCTTCTGCCCCAGCCAGCCAGGTCTAACTCACACCCTCACAAACCTGACTAGTGCATTCCTCCTTCTGCGTCTTTGCTCACTTTCCCTTTCCCCTGTATTACTAATATGAATCTTAATCGTCCTTCAGGACCAATTTCTCATTTTCTTCTCCCCAAGAAGTCCTTCCTGACCTTCCCAGCCCACAGTAACCTCTCCTCCCAAGCTCTCATAATATTTTATGTCTCTTCTAACACCATATGTATTTTGCCTGCTTTGGTGCCTAACTTTGAAACAAGTTACATTAACCTCTCTGGGCTCCAATTTCCTAAAATCTGTCCAGCACCAACAGTTCATGATTATGCTTCTTTGTATAACAGTATACTTCATTTGTATTGTTTTACAATTTATAAAGAATCACATGCATAATCTCATTCATAACCTTTCCTTTAGCATCCCAATCCCATCATAACAGTGGTTCCACTCAGTCCACCCATACCCATAAATGCTGTACCTCAGTGGTTCCCAAACTTGGATAGTCTTCAGAACCAGATGAGATTTTTTTTTTAAAAGATAGATTCCTAGGCTCCATCCTCCAGAGATTTTGATTCATTAGGGATAGGATAGGCCCTGGAATGTGTTCCATAGGTGACTCTTCATCAGGCCTTAGAACCATATAATTCCATAAATCATATGGTTTAGAAAATAAGAAAACTACACTTGTTAATAGCCAAGTCCCAGGCTGGCTGGTTAGCTCAGTTAGTTAGAGCCTGGTGCTGATAACACTAACATCCAGGGTTTGATCCCTTTACTAGCCAGCCGCCAAAAACAAAACAAAAGAAACCCAAGTCCTTTTACAAGGACAACAAGATATAAGGTAATCCTTTAAACTATTAAACACATAGTCCTAACTGAATATTTAATCTCTTGAATTCTGCCAATAGCTATCCTTTCCTGAATGCTTACCATGTGTTGGGCACCATACGTGTATTATTTTACCTAATCCCCATTTTACAGCAGAGAAAGGTGAAGCACATTACACAAGATCATTCCGATAAAAAGTTTAAGAGCCAATTCAAATCCATTCTGTGTGACTTCCCAATCCATGTTCTACTTTAAACCACTATACAATATTGTCTCTCTAAATGAACATTTTTGCAATCATGAATTTCCATGTACATAATGTAGAAAGGACCACTTACTATATATTGGTATTTCCAACCATACCCTCACGTAGCTACCAAGTAGTGCCAGATAAATATCTTATTCTTTTTATGTTCAGATAATACAGCTGTATTTATGAGCTCTAATTTCTATTCCTATTTATAGTGTACTGAATTTGCTAAATAAAAAATAAGGAACAGAATTAGCAAAATAGTAAATTGTAATCAAATTCCTGAAACCTTTATGTTCCCAGAATTTCAGCTTTTTATCATAAGAAAGCATTTTTAAAGAGTCTGCCAATTCATTTTTCTCCCTTTATATTATAATTCCAGAAGTACAATATCAACATGCAATAATAAAAATTCTAATTATGCCTTTTTCTGGTCTTGCAAGAAACAAGATGTCTTTAAAAATCTTCTGAAATCCTTAAGTAAATGATGAACCCAGTGGTCTATCCTTATATCCCAAGAAGTTTGAATAAGCAAACTTTGGAATACTTATTATCAAAGTCAACAGACAAATGTGGCCTCTCCTTGAGGTCACTAGAGTAACATGAAGATCAAGACATGCAAAGGTATGTTAGATAAGCTTTGCTTGGCACTTAAGTCCTCATAAAAAAGCTAATTCTACTCTAAGACACAGGTTACTTCTTAGAGATTATACATGAACGTTAATATAGTGTAGTTACCTTCCTTACTAATATATGTAGCATTTTTAATCCTGCCGTTGTAATTACAGCACCTAGTACTCCACAATTTATCCCATAACAACACTTAAAACAGTGTAGTTATTTTGTTCATGCTAACTCTCTCATATCACCATTCATAAACTTTGGGAGAGTGGGAAGAGGGGAGAAAGCACAGATTGCTTGCGAATACAGATTTCTGAACATGCTGCTAAGAATTTGAACCACATTTCAAATGTGCGCCCCCTTTACAAGCCTTGCAGGTAATTTATGGCCATTTCCTATTATCTTCAAAGCTCCCTCTTTCTTCCTTAATTTTGGAATTACTCAGGCCTCACCTGCAGAAATAGCAACTATTTTTTTGTCCTTAGTGCAATGTACTAAGATGACCAGAGAAGAGTTAAATGTGTGGGCGAGACTGGTGAGGAGTGCGGGAGAACAGAAGCACTAATTGTCCTTTTCAACTGGCCAAAGAGGCGCTTGAAATCACTATCCTGTCTTTCCCATTTGTAGTGCTGCATTAGCTTGGTAAAAAAGGGGAGAGATGGGCCAGCCTGGAGGCGCTCTGGAGAGTGCGCCGTTTGGGAGCGCGGCGGCGCTCCCGCCGAGGGTTCGGATCCCGGTTCCCGCTCACTGGCTGAGCGCGGTGCGGGCGCAGCCCCGAGGGTTGCGATCGCGTTGCCGGTCCCCGGTATGGGCGCGACACCGAGGGTTGCGATCCCGTTACCGGTCAGTAAAAAAGACAAAAAGGAAAAAAAAAAGGGGAGAGAAAGCCAATCTTTCTAGGGATAATCTAGACAAAATAGCATCACACTTGCTTCATCTTTCTCTCTTATAAAATAATTCTCAGAATATTTTTAAGTATTCACTGCATCAAGTGAACAAAAGAGCTCTCTGATAAATATTTCAAGAACACAGATGAATTGTTTATTCCTTTCGTATGCATGATTTTATCTTACAAAGTTTAGCCTTAAAGCTTCACAATACCTCAGCAATTTTACTATACTTGCCTTGTTGCAAACTATTTAAATAGCACAAATTCATAACAACATCAGTAACTGAGTATCACTAGAGAAAAATATTTTTCTTTTTATTTTAAACTTTTTTTTTTTTTTTTTTTTTTTTTTTTTTTTTTTCCTTTTTTTTTTTTTTTTTTTTTTTTTT